CCTATGGGTAGTTTTATTGCTGTGCTTTCTTAAAAATAAGCTGTTCAGGATGTACAGAAATAAGGAACCCTTACAAAACCATAGAATTTGCTGTTACTCAAGATCTGAGACCTTCTAGTAGTCATTTTCATCTTTTTACTGGATAAAATTCCTTTCTTTCTCTATTTTTAATGCAATTACTGTGTTTTAAAGTTGTCTTAATTGTAAAGGCAATATATCAAAGAATCAGAATAATTTATTTAGATCAGAAGTCAGCTGTTAGTTAGTCAGGATACTTTTACTTACAAATTATTTTGCACAAAATTATTTTACACTGCAAACTAAAATTTTAAAATTTCATCTGCTTTCTAAAATGAAGACAAATCCATAGGATCATAGTCTCTGTTTGCTAGATTTGCCATTATGACTCTTTCTATGAAGTACTTTAGAAACTAATAGATAGCAACAAAATAGTGGTATAGCAAGGACATAACTACTAAAGAAAAAAATAAAAATATAATTTAAGAAGAACATTTTAATTATACAAAAAAGACTATGTCTACTCTTTTTTATTTGCTATTTATATTTTACTAAACTATCCATAACTATCCATTTTCTATTACTTTGAGAGAATCTTCAAGATTTTCTTCTACAATTTAGGAATTATTTAAAAGTTCATGCACTGTAAATTGTTTAATTTTTTGTTACTGTGGTAAAACCCTATGATCAAAGGAAATGCAAGGAAGAGATATTTCTTTTTGTTGTAGAGTTCTAGTGTGATAAGAGTGCATTATGACAATTGGCAGGAGGCATGGCAACTGGAACAGGAAGCTGAGAGCTCATATCTCAAATCAAAACACAAAGCAGAGACAGCAATTGGAAATGGTTCAGTTCTTTAACTAGTCAGAGACTACCTCCAGTGCCGTACTTCCTCCAACAGGGCCAGATTTGCTAAACTTTCCCAAGTCATCAAACAGTGATAAAGTGTTCTGACATAAGAATATGGAAGACATCAACCTCATTTTAAACAGGACACACTGGAAACTTGGTACTTATCATGATAGTGCTCAGGTAGTTGAAACTTTAAGAAGTGGGTACCTAGTCAAAGCATCATGAATAGATTAACCCTAGGTGTTAAGTAAGTGAGTTTTGTTTCTGTGTAAAAAAACCTGCTATATGAAGAAGCAGGGTCATTCATGGTTTCTAGTTTCCTGTCTTTCTTATAGCTTCTCCATCTCTCTTCTGTATGTCCTTACACAATTATGATGAAAATTACCATGAGATGTTGACCAGAATATTGTTAGTATGTTCTTCAACTTTTAGAACTGTAATCTAAGTCAAAATAAACCTACTTATTTTATATGAAGTACTCAGCCTTTGTTGTTTTAGTTATATGCTGGGTAATTTATAAATAAATTCTGTTTAAGTTAACTAGTGGCTATGAAAATCCAAAATACTGAAACTGACATTTTCTCAGTCATTGGGAATATGCAGAAAATGGAAGGGATAAAAGATCTGACTTGGTTTGTAATAACATTATTTGATTAGAGATAATTCAGTCTTGTTGTTAGATATTATCCAAACTATAGCTGATGAATGAACTTTTTGTTTTGTATATGCAAATAAAATAAATTTTATAGTTCTGCCATGGCATCATTAATATTCCATACAACCAAGAAATAGTAACAGAATGTTAATTTTAGTGATTAAAACAGTTTTCATGGTTCTATTAAATTTCTTCAATGCAGAGAGAGTAAACTATGTACCAAACACACAAATTTTCTTTTTAAAAATATTTTATTTATTTATTTTAAACTCCAAATTCTATTCCCTTCCTGGTCCACTCTCTAACTATTTCACATCCTATACTCCTCCCCACTCCCCTGTCTCTATGAGGATGTCCACACCCTCCACCCACCAGAGCTCTAAATTCTCTGGCATCTCCAGTCCTCTGAGGGTTAGGTGCATCTTCTCAGACTAAACTCAGACCCCGCAGTTCGCTGCTGTATATGTGTTGGGGGCCACATAGCAGCTGATGTATGCTGCCTGGTTGGTGACTCAGTACCTGAGAGATCTCAGGGGTCCAAGTTAATTGAGACTGTTGGTCCTCCTACAGGATCACCCTCCTCCTCAGTGTCTTTTAGCCTTTCCCTAATTCAACAACAGGGGTCAGCAGCTTCTGTCTATTGGCTGGGTGCAAATACCTACATCTGACTTTTTCAATTGTTTGTTGGGTCTTTTGGAGGACAGTCATGATAGATCCCTTTTTGTAAATGCTCCATAGCCTCAGTAATAGTGTCAGGCCTTGGGGTCTCTCCTTGAGCTGGATCCCACTTTGGGCCTGTTGCTGGGCCTTCTTTTCCTCAGGCTTCTTTTCATTTCCATCCCTGCAATTCTTTCAGAATGGAACAATTATGGGTTAGAGTTTTTGACTATGGGATGGCAACCCCCTCTTTCACTTGATGTCCTGTCTCTTGTAACTAGGTAGAACTTTCAGAGACAGAATAGGGACATCAATCCACCCACAAAACCTTCAACCCAAAATTTGTCTTGCACAAAGATGTACAGGGATAACGATGGAGCAGAGACTGAGGGAACAGCCAAACAATGACTGCCCCAACTAGAGACTCATTCCATGTGAAAAAGCCAACCCCCAGACACTATTAATGATACTGTGCTATACTTGCAAACAGGAACCTAGCATAACTGTCTCCTGAGAGGCTCCATCCATCAATGGATGGAGGTAGATGCAAAGATCCACAGCCAAACATCAGACAGAGCTCAAGTAGTCTCATGGACGAGTAGGAGACCTAATTGAGTCAGCTAGAGGGGTCAAGGACACCACAAGGAGACTTACAGAGTCTGGGACCATGGGGGCTCACAGATACTGGACCACCAACCAGTGGAGTACCCATAGACTGGATCTAGGCTTCCTATATATTTATAGCAATTGTGCAGCTTGACCTTCATCTGGGACCTCTAACAAGTAGAACAGGGACTTTTTAGGTCTCTGTTACTTGCCATTGTCTCTCCTTCCCTTTACCTGGACTTCATGGTTGGTCCTCAGTGAGAGAGGATGTGCCTATTCATGCTGGGACTAGATGTCTCAGGCTGTGGTGGTACCTAAGGGTTCTCTGAGGAGAAGTGGAAAGGGGCAATGCGGAGGAAAGTTTTGTAATGGTAGGATTGGGAAGAGAGGATGGCAACTGTAATCAAGAGGTAAAGTAAATTTAAAAAATAAGTTAATGAAAGATAATATATATTTAATGGCATGTGTCTCAAACTGGACCAGTCATTGGTTGGTCAATCTCATGATTTCTGTTTTATCTTTATCTGTGTATGTCTTGTAGATAGGACAAATTATAGGTAGAAGGGTTTGTGGCTGGGATCTCCTCTCAATCCCTCCACTGATGCCTTGCCTGGTTACAGGATATGGCCTGTTCAGGCTTCAAATCCTCCATTACTAGATGTCTTAGCTAGTGTCACCCTCATCAGTTCCTGGGAATTTCCATTGCCCTAGGTATATGACTTGTCTCTGATATTCCCCCATTTCCAGGTGTTTATCCCAGTATGCTCTCCCCCATCATCCCCAACCTGATCCCTGTATTCCCATCCCTATCAGCCCCTAGGCCAGCCATATCAGTTCTATTTCCTCTTTCCTGGAATATCAATGCCCTGCTCCCCAACCCCTGAGCACTCCTTGTAACTTAGCGTCTCTCGATCTGTGAATTGTAGCATGGTTAGCCACTAATGCCCATCTAATATCCACTCATAAGTGAGTATATACAATGACCAGCTTGAGACCCATGCTATGAGAGTGAACACATCTGCCTATAGAGTTAGGATCCAGAAGCTGGATAGCCCATAGATCTAGGATAGAACCAAATATGACTAACAAAATAAAATGAAATGATTTTCAATGATATTATGCTATACTCATAGATGGCTGCCTAGATGAACTGTCATTGGATAGGCCTCATCCAGCCATTGATAGAAACAGATACAGAGATTCACAGAAATGTAGAGCTCATGAAATGCTGTGAAGGATGGGGAGGAAAGATGATAGGAGCCAGAGAGGTTAAGACACCAAAACAAATACCCACAGAATTAACAAACCTAGACCCATAGGAGCTCACAAAGGCTGAACAGACAACCAGAAAACCTTTCCTGGGCTCTTTGTATACATGTTACAGTTATGTAGCTCAGTCTTCCTGGGATTCCTAACAGTGGGAAGGAAATCTGTCCCTGACTCTTTTGCTTGCTTTTGGAACCTTTTTCCTCCTACTAGGTTGCCTCATATAGCTTTAATATGAAGGAGGTACTTCTTACTGCAACTTGATATTCCTACCCTTTTTTGAAGCAGGGGTAGAAGGGGATGAGGAAAAGAGGACAGGACTGGGAGGAGAGGAAGAAGTGGAAACTACATTTGGATATATTATATGAAAGAATACACACAAAAAAATTAGAAAAAATGTACATTTCTTCTAGAGCCCTATTCACGTGCTCTCCAGGGACTCCTGTGAGTATATTATGCCTTGAAGTTCAGAATGCACACTAGGGACTCACTTTGGTGCTTTCATTCCACTAAAGCACTACTGAGTGCACTGAAGTAATTATTGACTAAATTACCCTAGTGCCCTGAAAAGTATCACGTCTACACAGTCATGGTAAAATATTTAGCCTTCAAGAGTAATTACAATTCATGTTCTATTATATGCACTAATGAGAATTGTGACTAGTAGTGGTGGAGAAAAGCATGGCCATTGGAAGTTTTTATTTGAACTGAGTGCTTTAAAACACACACCAATTTTAATAGGGTATAGAACATTTCAAAACTTTCTCAATAATTTCTCTTTCAACTTGTAGCATAGGGGCATGCTTGCTCATAAGGATAGACCATTGCCATTGATTTAGTTGCTTGAAGGGTTATCATCTACTTCTCTGACACTGGTGGTGAAAAATAAGCCTGAGTGTTGGACAAAAACATACTTAAAGGATTGACACCATTACACAGTTATAGGTCAAACCCTAAAAGCATTGCAAGTGTGGCTGCAGTGTCACATGTACATCAGAGGGTGGTAGAAAGGAGAGAGGCAATGCCTGTGCTCAGTGTTCTGACTTATAAGCACCTGGATGACTAGTAGCCCAACATTCTCTGAAAAAAAAAAAAGCAAGCCTGAGACAACCACCAGTCTGGCATCAGGGAGCTAGCCTGAGAAAACCATGAGTCCAGTGCTACACAAGCCCAGATGTGCTCCCATGAAGGACCCCGCCTAGGACTACTGACCCTGGGCAGGAGCGAGCCTGAGAAGATCGACCCTTATTTAGAGTCACTCAGCTGGCCTGAGAGAGGAGAAAGCCTCACAGGATCAAAAGACTGGTACTATGAGATCTAGACTGGAAGCTAGCCTGAGATGATCATCATTCCAGCACCACACAGGCCAGGGGAGAGGGCAGACACTGGTCAAGATGACCCCTGCCTGGGGCTGTAATAGACATGTGGGACATAGCACTCCTGAGATCACTCCTAAGAAGACACCCCTAACACTCAGAGAACACTGTGGGAGTCACAAAGAAGGATAAGTTAGTGGTAGAGAAATGGAAAACAGAAATAGAAGGATGTGGGCTCAATGAAGAAAGGCAGAACTGGAGACTGAATGGTACTGAGGAGCAGCCTATCATGAGTAGCCAGTGGTACCACCTGAGACCATAACTAGATCCAGGACTGCACTGCCACTGGGGGCCAAGTATGGGTCTATGGCCCTGCAGTAACAGAGATCTATAACCACCAAAGGCCAGGAAGATGTCCCTGGTCTGGGCTGATGCGTAGGGACATGTTGATGTCTGAGAGCTGTGTAGAAATGAGCCCACCCCTCACCTGGGCATCACCAGAGACCTGGACAAGAGAGTATGAGAGCAGGAATGGGGGGAGTAGTGGGGAATCTGACCCTACCTCTAGCTGCAGTACTATGGAGAACAGGCCCCTGCACAGTGTGGTAATTGAGGGTGAGTTAGCCTCTAGGATATGAGCCTGCTAGAGCTATCCCTACCACTTCTTTCATGTATGGTGGCAAAGAAGATGGACAGATACTTTCCTTCCACTCCCCCTTCACCACCTATGGCAGGTGGAAGGACATGGCCCTGGGGTCTTGAGAGCAGGGGAGCTGTCCCTGTCCCTTGTGCTGTAACACTTGGGAGAACTGGCCCTACACATTGCCTAGGCAACATAGTAGAGCTAGCCCTGGATATGGGGGTAGCAGATGAACTTTTCTATCTATCTATCTATCTATCTATCTATCTATCTATCTATCTATCTATCTAT